CCCCCCACCAGTGGTATTGCGACATACATGCAGTGTTCTTTTCTGAAAGTTCCCTGATGCTTTGCTCGGTTTCTTCGGATGGCCTTTCCAAAAGCCAGAGAATCAAACGCTGTCTTTGTTTAGGTGCATGAATCGACTGATGAGTCAAGCATGAGTTCCCTTTGAATGGTACGGTTAAAGATCGACAGTATAAATAATTGTTCAATACTGGTTATATAGCTTGGTCACCCGAAACCATCATTGCTTCATTTTTTGTAACCGGATGCAGGAAAGTCCATGACCTGCAAAAGTATCGTGGCCCTGAAGGTTGTGGATGGTTCCTTATTAATCGTTTTTACATATGTTTGCTCTTTCTTCAGGGAGGGTGATAGTGGATCGATCTTGAGATCGCATCTATCCGCCTGGCTCTTCGGACACCATTTTAATGAGCTCACCCACGTGGACTGGAACTCTCAGCAGGAAAACGTGACCGCAAAGCAATGATTTATCGGGAATCACAAGCAGATGGCGTCAGTAAAAAGGTAAAAGCGTATCTATGTGCCAACTGTTTCGGAAAGAAGGCCTCAAAAACGAGAGGGGAAATCATTGGCACAAACAGATGGCAGCTTGAGCTGACGGTCGCCTTGTCCCTCGAAAGATGCAACATTTGGCTGGGATTGCTGCAACCCTTGACTGACACATACACTGAACAAATACATCATACAAAAAGGTTGAATGGAGCTTAGTGGATCATGCCCAGATTGCCGCAACAGTTTGCAATCTTCCGGATATAAAAATCCATCCGCCATGTGTGTGTGTGTGCACATCACAAAAAAGGCAACACGAATGGAGCAAGGCAGAGATTCAATTCTGCAGCCTTGGGGGTGTGCATACATTGCACACTGCAAGGGAATACCATGGGGTCATGATTTTGACGAAGCATCAGCTCCTGGGGGCCAAGATTCCTGAGGCCACTGCAATATAGTTAGATAAACCCTTATGTCATCATGTCCCTTTGTCAGGTGTTGCATTTCCCCTTTTTTTGCTCATTGCCACATTGATGGCACACAGGCAGTTATGCACGGATACGATCATGAAAAGCGACCTGAGTGCCAGCATTTTAGGCCCGTCGCCGTGTGCTAAAAGTTTGCGATTCACTATATGTTTAGTTTCTTACTACTTTCTTTGACGCACAAGGTTCGAAGTTCAATGCAATACGCTGCCGAGGCCTATTGATGAATTTTGTTGCCGCTTGAGAATGAGTATACTGAATAAGTTGCAGGTTGATGGCAGCCCAGTCGCTTCGCAAAAGCCGATGCACCAGGAAGAGGGCTGATCATGCAGAACTAGACACTTGTGCAGCGACACAGGCTTTCACTTCTGCGACTGGCCATTCGTTGCGCGGCCCATTTTGTGTTTTGTGCCTTCGTTGCTTGCAGAGGCATGTTGCCATCCACCGGCTTTCCTGGTCCTTCAAGCAAACCATGATGACAATGTTTGCCTCTGTGTTTTTGCCACGCTTGGTGAGTCTTTTTTGGAAGTGGTGTGCCCATGGGTGGGGCTTGTTTGTGCAAGTATCAGTGTAGGGACTGATTAGGGCAAGGATGAGGCCCCTCAAGCCAGGGACAGAGCTGTGCTTCGTAGGTATTGGAAGCGGCCCAAAAGAACAAGGGCTGCATTGCTGGTAGCAGCGATTCCTTGCACCCGAATTGCAACGGGCTGCTGATGAAGGACCGCAGATCCCACATGAGCAATTAGTTTGGTGTTTTTTTTCATACATCCCCCGGAAAAGTGAGGGAATAAACCATGCCAGCGTTGACCCCAAGCTTTGTTTGGTCCAGATCCAAGTCCAGACGTGTAAAGTCATGCGGCCACAGCACCCACAAAGAACTGGAGACAGTGGGAGACAAATGGGATACAAATGAAAAATCATGCAGCCAGAGCACCCACTGTTCGACAAATGTTTTCAACACTCGTCCCCCTCTTTGCATACGTTAGCAAACATGTATGAAACCACCCCCTAACCTTGGTGGAGATGGCCATGGCGATGTGATTTGTATGCTTGTCCTATTTTGGTTGACAGATGATAGGTTCCGGTGTTATGTGCAAGATATGGACACACAAAAATATGCATAAGCTAGCTTTGAATGTGTTTGACACATGTTTGGCTGCGTGATCTGAACACACTTATGGAGAGGATTTGAGGGCTGATTTTGTTTGTTTTTGGGGTGTTGCGCATGAAACATGTGCCACAGTAAAGCGCAAAAATATTTAGAGTATGTGGTGACTGAGTCCCATTGCAACACATTGCAGTGGCACTGGAGGTTCGCGATAGAGTTCTTGAACGTCAGGTATTGAGATTTCAGATTTCAGGGAGGGGTCCTTGAGTCCAAACGAAAGCTCCCAGATGTATGTTGGCCGTGAAATCTAGAACCTTGAGCCCTGGCGCTGGGTTGCAGCTAGTATTTCGAGAGTATAGTGCGTTACAACGCGTTTCTTCACAAGTCGTGTTGCATACTGCACACCTGGCGTGCAGTAGTTGGTATGAACTCAAATTGCGCCAGCATCAGATAGCGCAAGATATTCTTTGTTATTGGTCACGTCAGACACCAGGTCGGCTCAAGAGTAGGCAAAGGATCCACGAAGGAGGTGTCCAAGACGGATGTGTTTTTATTTGAGGTTGCCGAAACACACTCATTTGCCCATGTTTGACCAAACTGGTCGTCCTCCTCAATTCTTACTTTGTTTTTGCGCGCCCACGTAAAACAGACCATGTACAAGCACGGCAGGAACTGTCCAAAGTTGCTGGGGCTCCGGAGAAGCTTGGCCTTTATTTCGGAAAACCGCATGACCTCCCCTTGATGCCAATAAACATGTCAAGATACAACAACCCTTCCGAACCCAAGTGGGGACTGATCTACACCCATGCATGTCCCGCAGCCCCCGGCAAATCCCAGAGTAGCCATAGTCAAAGACCCAGGTGTGGCGGCAAGAGAAAAACAACACCGTTTGTGACTATTCGTGACCCTGTGCGGCATTGGTTGTCAGCGTTAAAGAGCGTTCATTGTGAACGTTTATTTGTTTTTGATTGGACCAGAACCATATACTTTTGGAAAGTGATGGAAAGTCCCAGTCTGGTCGCCCCATCAATTTGTCAATTGCCAAGTGTCACCCGATCACCCGACTGAAGAGAGTACACTATCAAGCCCTTTGTCACGAAAGGTAGCGGTTACGCTACCTGAGTTTTCCTTTTGCTTTAGCAAAAATGTATTAACCCAGAGCTGCAGCCTATCTCTCGGAGAAATGGTCCCCGACATCTTCGTTTGCTGGCCGGGGGCCCCCCCCCTTTCAACTCCACCCTAGCGCGCCTCGGGGTCAACCGTTCGAAAACACTGTAAATATCAGTGTTTTCAGCTCTTCCAGTCCTCAGCAGTGACCAAAAATCATGGAATTTACAGCGTTTTTTGTGGCTGTCCGGCAAAAAACACCGCAAAAACCGATGGTTTTTGATGCGTCTCGGTTAGAAAAATGACCGAAAAAAGACCAAAAACCAGGAAAGATTTTGTCAGAAAGGGTTTTTGAGGCTTTTGGAGGCTTCAAAATTGCACAAAACTATGGTATTTACAGGGTTTTGTGCACCTTCCCGGCAGAAAACGCCGGTATTTACACGGTTTTCTGCGCTTTTCCAGCGCTCAACCGTGGTGCGCCTTTGGATCGACGGCTACAAAATACCGTAAATACCAGTGTTTTCAGCTCTTCCTGTCTTCAAGCGTGGCCTTAGACCTTGCCGCGGCTGTGGATCGACGGCAACGAAACCTCGTAAATACCAGTGTTTTTGAGCACGTCCTGTTTGCAAGCATGGCCTGCGGCCACGCAATTTACAGGGTCGCCGCACGTCACTATGTAAATCCGAAGTTGCATTTGAGAAATATGTGACTCCTTTTGAAGGCACGTCAACCTGTATTGAAACCGCTAGACCGCTACAGCTTCTGGAGGTTTTGTCAAGCGTTTGTGCACTAGTCTTTCTTTCATCACGCTCACTCACTTCTCTTCAAACAAGTGGGGGGCCTCTCACCTCCTCCCGGATTACGCCTGATTCCCTGCTACCTTTCGTTCACCCCCCTCCTCTCTCAAGTCGCTTTGCACATCTCTGCCCACCACATAACCGTCGCGGTTGTCTTCGTTTTTCCAGTTTGGATCAACTGCTTGGTCCGCCGCACTTCCTCGAATTTTTTTAGGTCATCCAACATCCATTTCATCCAACTCTCCTCAAATGGCGCACTGGTGTCACTGGTGTTGTTTCATTCGTTCCATGAACCCTCAGCAATCACACAACAGGTCTACACTTCTACATTCCACAGAAACCACTTCGGGCGATTCCGCGCGAGAGTCGGCCGACGCCGAACGCCGTCAATGTAGACTCTTGATATTCTATGTCAACCCCCGATATAAAGAGGGGGGGGGTAGGAAGCTACTAGTAACAAGTGCATCGCTACTAGTAACAAGTGCGTTACTACTAGTAACAATAAGAAATATATAAAGAGGTATTACACTGGTTTTCACAAAGTGTGGGTCTACGTGGTCTGCATCACTCGATCTTCTTCACTCCACCCGGCCGGTTTCTCTCCACCCTGTTCGGTGCTCAGTCACGAGACCTGGCCGAACATCTTCGAATCCCCGCCGGCGGCGGCGATGGACGCTTAGACCAAGCGGTTGGACACTGGAAGAGGGCTCAATGAATGCGCAGGTGTCCGGAGCCTTTTGCAGGTTGGTTCCAAGGAATCGATTGGGATTGAGTCCAGGCACCCGCCCTTGAAGATGCTAGAAGAGGGAGGCACAGGTCATAAAGAAACAAGAAAGACGTCGTCAAGTTTTGAGTTCTGGCTGTAAGTACAAGATCACCCCAAGCTAAAACAACATGTTTGTGTTTTGTTTTCCGTATTTTTCCGTACATTCGATAGCTTCGTCGCATCAACTCATTTGTTTTCCGTCGCGATGTCCGTGTCCCAAAGCCTTTTCAAGACGATCGCACTTTGGTGTTCATTGCACGGGGGCACCCTGCAGGCCCTCCCTCCTGCGTTTTTTCGCCTTTGAACTTGATGCACTGGTGTTTTGTCAATCTGTTTCCAGGGATAATGCCAATCGGTTTCTCTTCCATGATCCCGAAATCAGTGGATTAATTGCTATAGTCTATAGTGTATATATATATACAGTAAAATGTGTTTTTATAGTAATTGATCCTATACTATACCATATCATATATTATACTAGTGCAATTCTCAGGTTTGTGCAATCAGTTTGTGTTCCCATGTCGGATCGAAGCATCTCTGGATCAAAACATCTATGTGGATCAGTGGATCCGATCCTTACATAGTCAATGAATGTCAGGTCATTTCCATGTGGAACCTGCAGACGTTTGGGTCGTGACAGCTCGAACAAAGGGGTGGAGTCCGGGGTGGAGTGCTGAGGACCTCTTGTTCGAACTCGTGAAGGACCAACTACATGGGAAAGCCTTGGCGGAGGTGAGCAAAAAACGTCGCGTTTCTTTTTTTCCTGGACCTTCGCATTGGTTGATGGTTTTTTGCAGCATATTGCAGGATGTTCTTGTTGGACAGAAATGCCATAGTGTTCAATCTCCAGTATCTGGTGGTTGGATATGTGTCGCAAACGTTTGGGCATGGCAAAGTTGGAGCACTTCATACACCCACACATTCAATTGCATGACCCCGCATGTGTTGCTTGTTCCAACTGGCCTTTGTGCGACTACTGACCTATTATTTGCGCAGGTTCCTCGCTTCCAGACGTGAAAAACACATGTATCAAGTGCAAAACACCGCGGAAGAAAGGCAACATCGTCCCAGGGAATCATGCGTCAGCTTAAAACTGTTCATCCATGTTGATCCTCCGAAGGTGCCGTCCTAAGCAATTTGCCATGACAAATTGACCTCCATCGATGCATGTGTGCGAACCGGACTGCCAAGTATCCCCATTCGGAGGCAGGTCGCCAGGCGGTGTTGGATCCCAGCCGTACTCGACATGAGTTTGCAGTATGTTTATATACCGAGAACCAATTAAAACCAATTTGATTTTTTTTTGATAGTACGTATAGTAGGAAAAGGCAGCCTTTTGGATAAACCTCCTAAATTCTCCAAAAGAGGGGTCACTCGGGTTCTAGGTATATAAAATATTAGCTTAGTGGGCCGCAAACATGTTGAGCAGGATTGTATATCAAGTTCGATCTCCGTAGTCCAGGATACCAGCTATAGCTGGACATGTCGAAAAGCTTAGAGCCATCATTCCCACTTCCGACACCGACGATCGGGGCGCGTGTTTGGGCAGGTGCAAGAGATGCGTTTGACAGGCTACTCCACAGCTGGAGAGCCCTTGCCATCAGCATTGGTTTGGCCTTGGAAAGGTCGGGAGAGCGCTCAGAGCGGCATGTAGAGTGACACCTTAAAGCTCTACTTTCGAGCTGCTGCTCTGTGGCAATGCCCTTGATTCGACATGAGACCGATGTAACCCTTAGCAAAAGAAGCCATGCAACAAGGTGAAGTTCTCATCAAACCACACTTGGTGCTCTTAGACCCCTCATCCTGTTGACTTTCGCAAGTAGCTAAGGGCAGGACATGAGGAAGAGTAGAGGCATGTTTTGGAAAAATGTGTCCCAGATGAAACATGCAAAAACGGTTCTCTTTGAAACAACATTGAACCTGGGAGTGCAGTTAAACACCTATGTGGAACACAGTGCAGCGTATGCAGAACACCAAAAGTGCCTCTTTGTCCGGAATTGGTGCAAAATTGTTCTAAATGCAAAGACAAATGAGATTTCATCTGAGGAGAATTCTCCAAACTCAGCAAGTTGTTTTGTTGCTTCTATATAATCGCATTGGCTTTGCTGCCTTTGGCCTGGGTTTAAAGCTGACACATTTCCGAGTTTGGCTTGAGTTTGGAGAATTCTCCAAACTCACGTCGGCCACAAAACCAAGACTTTTCAGCCTTTTTGCTGAGTTTGACGTGAGTTTGACGAGTTCGGAGATTTTTTATCTCATGCCAAACTCAGGAATTTCTCCAGCCAAACTGCCAAACCTTTTTCTATTCATTCCCTTGCCCTTTGCTGATTTTGGCATGAGTTTGAAGAATTCTCCAAGCTCGCCAGACTCAGGACAAAATGAAGCACCTTTTGAGCTTGGCTTGAGTTTGAAGGTAACATTAAAAATATAGATAAAATCCTGAGGTTCACCTGACTTTGGCGAGTTTTGAGAATTGTCCAAAATCAAGCCAAAGCGCTCCAAAGCTCAAAACACCTGGGATTGCATATGTTTTGCTGAGTTTTGCGTGAGTTTGGCGAATTCTCTAAACTTGCCAGACTCAGACTCAGAACAAGTCAAACAAATCCGATTTGTTGCAGTTCCCTAGAGTTGGGTGAACTCTCCAAACTCAAGCAACAATCATCAAGCAAGAATGCGTGTTTCCGATAGGTTTTCTGAGTTTGGAGAATTCTTTATATAATCTTTTCGACTCAGCAAGAAGTAATTTGCTGAGATGCTGATTGCGTTTGGCTTGAGCATGGCTGGAGAATTCTCTAAGGCTTGACTCACACTCTCAGGCCAAACTCATGAAATTATTTGCAAGTCCTGAATATGTTGCTGATTTTTCAGCTTTGTTTCTGGTTTTGAGGATTTTCCCAAACTCCAAACTTGAGTTTATATAATTTTGAATCATCTGATCAGCGCAGTCGGGTTAGTTTGGTTTGGGGAGTTCTGGTTCTTTACACCATCACGCCACGGTTTTGTTCTTTGCTTAAGACTTAAAACTCATGCAACAGTGGTTTTCATTTGTCTTTGCTTTGGAGGGTTTCGCCCTACTTACAGTAAGTCGCCCAAAGCACTTACATATTGTATTTTGAAGTTCCACCCAAAAAAAACAACAACACAAAAACCTACCGGTATACCGGAATCCTCTTCTACACTTGTTCTCGGAGATTTAGCACCTCATGAGCTTGAAATTTCACACCTCATCCACCATCTCCTGGAACTTCTCCAAGCTTCTCGACTACAGGGCTGGTAAAAGAAGGCCATGCCCTGCAGGCTGGATGAATCCCAAGCACGACGTCACCCGAATTGGGCTGGTGCTCACCAAGGAGATGAGATCTGGAGCGCTGTCAGACAGATCTAATTCCAACACAACGTACGAATGTATCAGATCTTGGCACTTGTAGGCATCGTTGGCTGGGTTACCGGGTTAACGGGCTTGGCAGGGTTACCGTGATTCAGCTGCGCTATGCTCCGCCATCTTCCGACCCAAATCGCACTGGATTGAAGTGTCAAGGACTACGAAGCCCCAAGCCACGGTGAAACCCCGCCTCACCCGCCTCGCCTGGGAAGTTCCGTATGCCACGAAAGGATAAGGCTGATAAGTTTTTGACCCGGCGAATCGGTAGAACCCTGGGTTGGATTCGTCCAAAGACCCAGAATAAACCTGGTCCTTGATTGAGTTGTGTTTCTTGCGTGACCAGCTCCACAAAATTTGAGGTCAAACTGACCTGTAGGGGAAGTCTCAGTCCAATCACCTGGTTCCAATGCAGTCACCTGAAGGCTCGTAGCACTTCGCCAGGAGATCATTAATGTCTTCCAGGCACTCGGATCTGAGGGCGATCGGATGTGGAAGGAAAGACTTGGGCTGTTGAGAAGGGCCAGGTTCTCATGACCGAGGTGAAACCTGAACTTGGGAGAATTCTCACTGTGATTCGGGGATGTCACGACAATGAGGGGGAGCTCGCCCCCCGATTGCTTTCCAGGTGTCGAAGTACTTGGAAATGCGCCATCGCTCCGGCTTGCGACCAGAGACCCAGCTGCACCAACTGGATGACCTGGGGACACTGAGCAAATATGATGTTGGATACTGCCACGGCTCTTCCACATCAATTGACTACACAGTCTCAGCCTAATTAAGTATGTGCACACCGTCTTTCGCCCGGTTGACTTCACTCTTGCCTTGGTTGACTCAACACTCCCTGTGATTTGAAGTGGTTTCAACGGCAACGGTGCGTTAGCATGTAGATTTTAGACTGAGCACACACACACACAGTTTGGAACGAAAAGAAAGGATCAAGCAGTGTACTTTGCATACCTCTTGGGAAACGCTGTTCTTGGTTGAACCCAACTCATGCAAAAGAACTGAAACGATGTCAAAAAAGAAACCCTAGCCATCCCTAGCCCCAGGAATCCACTGTTTGTCTCTCAGAAGTTCGGATTTTGAACGGATGTGAACGGCTTGGTGTGGCGGTCAGCCAGCAGCTTTTAGATCTGTGAAAGATCGAGAATCGAGTCAACTTTTTAACATCGAGAAACCATGTCTTAGATATAGGTCTTCGCACATTCTTTGTCGCATGTCTTAGATATACCAGGATCATCCAATGCTTGTCCAATAGACTACCCTACCCTACTTATGATAGGTCTCCATTGGGCACGCATTGGTTAGGCGATCATCGCCTTCGCGCTGTACCGACATCGAGCCCACTGCTCCCTGGAGATCGCCATGGGCGGACGGCGCAGCGTGGCATCAGGGATGTGTGATAGAGCGAACATGGCGAACGTCTGAAAAATGGTTCAAACAAGTCCAATTGCCTCGTTTCCACGTCTACCTCATCCCTGCCATTCCCGGCCCCGGGAGCCTCCCATCCTCCACCCCCATCCACTCCGTCGCCGTCGAACGAGTTCGTGTGTCTCGAGGTTTCCCGATGTCGAACTCCAGCCGGGCGTTGTGCAAAGAGTGTTGGTATCAACAGATCCTTCGAGCTTTTGAAATGGCGGACTTCAGGCAGGGCGAGCAGCAACAACGCGGACGTTCTTTTCCAAGTTTGGCACTTTGGCCAGTGATTTTAAGGATGTGGCTCATGTGTTTCGTATGTTTGTTGAAGATGAGTAGTTTAAAATAAAGACTACATGTGGTATCGGATCGATCTCCGTACCTCGGTATGTTGGCAGTGAAGTGATGCAGAACCAAAAACAGCTTAACCACCTGTCTTTGTGATTGATTCGCACATGGGGGGCTGAATGGGGTGAACCTGGTGCAACCGAGCTGTTCTTTGCACCAGATGAAAATCGCAGACATCCTCTGCGAGGGTTGCAAACCATAAAGAAGTCTTAATATGGTTCACCCATTTGTTGTGCCAGTGGGATCATCCAATTAGACAATCCTCTGAGGAAAAAACATGTCATTGGTTTGAACCAGTTAGTTTGGATTCCCATGCATTGTTCAAAGGATTTGTTAAGGTGAGAACGGCAGAGTCCACAAACAAGCTATTTTGCTCAGAAAGCCTATGATTCAATATATTGGTGTCGTCCTTTAAGTTGTTTGATGTGAAGCGCAAGATTGAACATGAGACACGACACGAAGTACAGTTGAAGCCGGAACACCTGCACCTTACCTTCTCGAAGCCTTTACAGTATATAAGTACTGTATATAAGTTTCCTGATAAATCCGGAGAAAGAATTTATTCGAAAGCAAGTTGACTTCCAATATCTTCCATCCATATCAGACTCTCCGAACCCAAATTTCAAATCATGTAAGTAGACTTCAACCCCCTTCTTAGGTGTTCAAGTCGTTTGGTTTCAAGGGGCGCCCGGGATAGCACCATGGCCATGCCATGCCACCAAACATAGACCCAAGCCCAGACCACTATTATTGTAATATTCTAATGAAATAGAATACAGATTAACCCACATCATGAAAATCAGACCAAAAAAACAATATATATTGACCATAAAATAAGCTCCAAGTCAAACCTTCTACCTTTTTGAACCGGTACACTGCCCGACGCCAACATGCGCACACCACGCACCGCAGCAACGACGACGCCATGCGGGGTCTCCAACGTTTTTGGCTCAGCAGAGCTCGCTTGGTGGGTGGACGACAAGGCTGGGAGCTTGGAGGAATCCTTGGGGAGCTGGGAGCTTGGTTCTTTTCCGTGGTTGAGTGCCTTTGTCCGCACATGTTTCACAGGTTGGAGTCGGCACCAGCACCACAAAAGGATGTTTGTATAGCGGGTCTAATATGGATACCTCATATAGTGTTGCTCACAAATATTGAACAGTCAACATTACGTTTGAGAGACCCTGTTCTTTGGCCAATCACTGATTCGCAGGTTCCATTTCTTTTTGGTCAGGGCTGAAAGACCATGCTCGGCTCTCGTGAGGGTTCGGGTGCAACAAATCCTGCTGTTTCACATAGAAAACACAGAAATAGACATGCAACATATAAGAAGATGAACATGTTCCCTTTACGCGATTGAAGCCCTACTGTATCTTCTAAATAACAGTATAATAGATACATGTTGTGTGTATAGTATATCACGAAAGCAAGCTCAGAAGGAGCTCAGCGGAAGTTGTTGTTTACGAAATATGGTGAGGCTCAAAATTGAAAGGTTCAGTGAGCTAATTGATTCTTTCAATTAAAGGGAGGGGTCAGCCGAGGGGGGGGCCCCCCCCCTCCCTTTTTATTGATTCTTTCAATGACACCCCTCGCAAAGGAATTGATATTTCAATTAGCAGATCTGTAAAGTGAATTGAAAGAGGCTATTCGACTCCTCCCTCGTCCTTGTGAGAATGAAAGCCGAGTTTTTATTTAAGTGTTCGGTTGACTGACTCAGCCAACAACACTTTGCGCTCGTGGCACAAAAGCGTTGCGTTGCTGCCCTCCCTCCGCGTCCCCTTGATCCTTCCACACCCCTCGCTTTCGTCCCCACTGTCCTCAAGTATATAATATATACCAACATTGCCTTTTCAGTAACACCACAGTTTGTTTGGTTCTGATATGATACGGTAGAAAACGGCAAATGCTGTGGCGGCGCGGTGGAAATAAAAACTACAGGAACAACTACCCCGTGTTTTGGCGTCAAAATGGCGTTTGCCTTTCGCCTCTGTTTAGGATTTTGAGCACGGTGTTTTTTGGCTAAAACTGAAAAATGCATCAGGCAAGAGCTTAGGGCGCTGCAAGATCCAGGTATGTATATATATTTATTACTATATACTTCAGGAGGAAGAATGTTCTTGTCATTTTACCGGGTCTTATAACATCTGTGTGAATCAGCCGCTGTCGAAGTAAGAAGTCCATTTCGCGTGGCCAGTGTGGGACGGTGATTTTTATTCCCCTCTTTTTTAATGTATCACAATTAAAATCAATTAAAACAGCTTCGGAGGAAATTCGACAGCGTGAGGCGACATAAGCGACTTGCAGGATTCTACGCGGAAAGGGTTGTCAATTTGGAACCTGTCCTAGTGGTGTATAGAGAGAGAGAGAGAGATTTTGCCCACAATCACATGTAATTAATTGTTGAGAAGAGTTGGGATGTTGTGTTTGTACTATCAATTTGCTTACTTTTTTAACGGCCCAGACTCGTGATGACTGCTTTAAAACGAATGCACTGAGAATGTGGTCTTAGAGATCCCAGTGTCCTTTGACGGGATGTCCGAAAGGTCATGCCCGTTTTCATCATGCCAATGTGCGGCTGGGGAAGCTTTTAGCATGTTGTTAGCCCATGTTTGATCGGGGATTCTTTCAACCTATCACAGGGAAAATATCGAAGAACCCTTGGAAGAACTCCTTTTCATTGAGTTTTTTCAGCCATCCATACCGGGAGAGCCGAGTCCGTAGGGGAGACCATTTTCAATCCAGAGGTAGACTCTGGACTAACCAAAAGAAGAAGAGTTATTGTTCATCATGTTTCTTTGTGTTGCCGGAACAGCAAACACTATGTAATTTTGGTTTTAGTTTTAGGTGACTTTTGTTCTGAAACTCTAATGTAAATCAGTTCGCGGATGTTGAAACCATTAGATTGAACGACATGTTTGCATACCTTGCATGCATCAACTACAAGTGCTAGATATATAAGGATTTGGTTGCCAAATTGACCGTACAAGTATTATATAGGTATAGGTATATGATGGTGTGTACATATATATATATATATGCGTATGCGCATTCGGTATATATGTCATCTCCCGAAATCTACCTTAACGTCTCTGTTTGAAACGACAAAGGTGTGTTGGTCCACAAGTTGTGGGGATGTCACGTTGACCCTTTGGTAGGTCATAGACCATTCAAAGAGCAGAAGCAGAGCTCCTGTTATTGTTTCAGCACTTCTAACTAGGGTTTTAGGGGGGCAGTACTGCGGCAGTGGGGAAGAAAACCGCCAGTCGTACGCCAGCGAAGGTGTCCTGGGTTGTTTGGCCATTACACCTGGGTTGTTTCGCCCATGGATGTGAGTCAAAATCTAGAGCACACACGCCAAACAAATTGGACATCATCCAACTAAGCAATACTTATCACCGATTCGCCAGCACTAGGCAGCCCTGTTGTTGGGCTCGGAGACAGCTCCAAAGAGAATGGAGGATGTAGAGGGAGCTGACGATAATGGCCTTTCGAACACAAAGAACTCCATCAGAGCAGCCAACCATATTTTCAGCGCGTCGCAGCACTCACGTGATACTAATTGGCGTGCTTGTGTTAATATATCCCTTTGCGGGGAGAAACGTGGGTGGTCCACCATCCGACAGCGCGCTGGACTGTGGCCTTGGTACATCGGATCAGAAGCCGGACTGGTGTCTTTCCAGGCCCATCTGGCCTGGTCTTTGCGCACTTGGTGGCCTGGTTCCCGCCCCCTGGAGACATCGACTGCGGTTTGGAGACAGACTGCGACGGCGGTTCGGCTGGGGTGACAAAATGTGTTCACTTTTTGGAGGCATAGAGAGTAGATATAGGGGTGTGATCACGACAAACACATGGCAGGTTGACATGACAAGCTCGTTTTGTTTCGCTTTCGTTTCTTCAGAACGTCCATTTTTCTACATGGCTTGGATGGCTTGATATAAGGAGTGAGTCGCATTTTCACAAAGACAATAGCAAGCTTTTGTCGCGTGCTCTTTGAGCAAGCTTGGGGCACTTGTCAGATGTCATCGCTTGGAAAGTTCGGAATTCCTTTTGGAATCACCTCCAGCTTCGTAACCGTCAACCCCCCAGCTAGGTGTTCCATCAGTGGTTGTACTGGAGGAGGCCCGTTTCTGCCCTATAGTCTATGAGTCGTGTACAGGTCTGATGTCTTGCGACTCCAGAGGCATCATGACTCCGAGGAAAGCTCACATGATTTGTCTCGGAGTGAGTTCACCACCGACCCTTTGGTCGAGTTCATGGTCATCCGAAATCAGGACCATGCCGTGGCGTCCATGTAACATCACGCAAGCTCGGAGTTGTCTCACCAAGGCTTTTGCGAGCGCAACTGTTTGGATTGAGAGTGCTGGACTATGCGAGGCTCTTGGTCCTGAGTTGCTTGGCATAATAAGCGACAGACGGTCAGAACAGACAGGCCAGAAGCTGAGAGTAAATGCATGTTCATCCGTTTTTCTGTTAAATTATACCGAATTATACCGACAATGCCTTTTGAGTACCAACTAACTATCTTTGGATCATTTTGGATCGGTTGCCTTAAGACTGAGCACGTGGCTTTCCGGAGTCATAGCAACGGACGAGCAAAGAATCGTCGCCGAATTCTCGGTTCATCTCACCGGCGCTGGGTGCTTCGATGTAAGGAGATCGAAGCATTGCATGGTGTTTGTTTCCGTATCACAGCTTATTTGTTTACATTTGTACATGGTGTTTTGCATGGATTTTTAAGGATGTTTCACATCTAGCAAGAATCCTTGGATGTTGAAACAAGATCCTCCAGCACCTTTCGACTGCTGAGATCAACGGGAGCTCCGCAAGTACCTGAATGGAACCCTGCCTGGGAATTTGATCAGGAGCCCTGGCGTGGAGGTGTGGCACGCCGGAACGGGGACGGCGGTCCTCTTCGCAGGTGTGAAGCGAAGAAAAACGGTCCCAAAGAAGGACACGTAACAAGTACTGGATCCAAGAATCCAAGACATGTTTTGTTCATCAATGTCAATGGTGCTTTCGTTTTGGGGGCAAAAATCGCAGATTGTTCTCTATCATACTCATAGACGGTTATTTTTTGTGGATCTCTGCAGGGGATTGATCACCTCATCTTGGCCAATTGCCTACCCATGTGTTTTGCTAGGATATTTCCACGCTTTCCCCCAACCTAGAATGGCTTCTGCTGGAGGTTCCCCCTTGCAAGACACTCGCAACGTATTCGGCAACCAATGAAGAACACCCTGTGTGTCGTACGGCGATCACCACGGCGAAACGATGCGTTTGAGCCCCGCAATGAAAGGCGGCTCACGCGCCCTCAGATGATGTTGAGCAAAGGAACTGAAAACTAGGCCATCGTGGGCGAACTTCTTGAGCCGTTAGTGGACTTCGAGCAGCTCAATCTTCAGACATTGAATAACCAGCGTCGTGTCGACATCAACGTCGCGTCCAAGCTGTCCAAGCTGTTCATCGTTTTTAGAAAAACTTGTCATGCCTCTTGTTGACTCAAGCTGGAGGCTCCTGAGCCTCAAGCGAGTGCCGTGCATGACATTCGTGCAGCAGCATTCGTGTGTAGGCAAGAAGCATCACTGAATGTGAAGGTAGTCGTTGGTTCAAAAGGGTTGAGGACCCGGGTCCTCACTTGTTGCAATATGCAATCCCAAACGAGTCCCAAACATGGTGGAAATCCCGCAAATCGGCACGCGCGTCACGGCACTCGCAGATCGTCCAGGCACTCGCACGGAGCTTCGAGGCCTTCCGCGTTGATGATCCGCTCAAGTTCTTGGCCAAGCGGGCGCGCGTCGGGCGTCGGTGGCGCCGGTGGCGCGGTTGGAAGGCATCGAAAACTTGGTTTTTCTGGGCTTGTGGGATCAAAGTTTCAAGGCCTGGCACCCTTGGATCTCAACCAGCAGCCAGAGGGCAGGGTTGACGTGGGAGAGGGAACTGGAAGCAAAGTGTCTTCTTTTTGGAAGGGCTTTTAGAGGGTGAGAGATAGCTTACCCTCGAGGTGAATCGAACGTTTGGATCATTTGGATCAGGCGAAAAACCCGGCCGATCCTTTCCAAACCCTGCCCGGTCCCGTTGGATCTGACGATGAGTTTGTTCACTTGGGATTCTGGTCTCTCCAGACTGAGCTGCTTCGAAGACTATAGAATACTGTAGATATAAGGTGTATATATATATATATTAAGCCTCAAACTTATGGAAAACTGAAGAACACAATGTTTAGTTTTGTTTAGAGGATTTTAGATGTTTTCAAAACATAGAAAATTATCGGAACTTCACTTTGAATACCAAAAACGCTGGTTGGTCTCCATGCCTCGACCAAACGAACCCCGCAGGAGCGAAGCTACCTGGCCTTGGGTGCTGAGCCCTTCGCACGGGCAGCGATCCAGGCGTTTTTGTTAATCGAGCGCACGGGTGAGGGTCGGTGATGGGAGTGAAGGGTACGGGTATGGTAAGACTCTTATATAATTAATCAAAAAGGCAACAACAAAACATGTGTGGTTTCTCAAAACTTTTGGGTTGCAGGGTTTTATGAATCAAGAATCTATCAAGTCTCCAGGTGGTTGGATACTAATTGCACTCTGAGGCACCTAACATTCAAGTGGAGTTCACGACCTGCTAGCCGAGGAAAATGGTCCTCCAAGGGGCCATCCCATCCACATGGGAGTGTAGATGACTCAGATCGTGGTAATCCTTATGACTCAGATGACCATGATCGTGGTAATAGACTTCGAGAAAGAGGAACAGGGACCAAGAAACATGTTTGTTAGCGGGTTTGTCCAGGATTGAATCTTTATTGTAGCATATTGTGGCAGTAGTTGTGGCAGTATATAATTCATAGATACATTACAATCTATATATATACATATTTTAAATATTAAAATATATAAAATTACAAAATATGGCTGTACCGCTGTGTGTCCGCGAAAACCTGAGGGTTCATCAAGCAGCTCTACAGAGCTGTGGTTCAGCTTGTTTGTTCCTAGTTTTCAGTATCTATACAGTAGTATTGTAGAGCGTTTCTTACCTGTGCTGTTCTGTTTATGGACAAAATCACAGGAAGAATCAAGCTCTACTTTGCTCTTCCCTCGACATGCCGTGATGCCTTGTATGTGACGTGACCGGAGCCGTGGATTGTGCCAGGAGATGCGGCGGTTGCAGCCGGAAATCGATCTGTCCTTGTTTTCAGAGTCTTTTTTAATGACCAATTCCAAGAAGTATGGGCGACCCATGAACCAGTTGGGTGAAAAACAAGGGGAAAAAAGTGCGGCACGAGGTTTTCTGTTGGTGACCTTTGACAGTGCGGTGCAAGTGTGTTTTCGCAAGAAAGATGTGACAGCATGAGAGTCAGCTTCCCTCGAGCAAGGTAAGACCAAGGTGAGGTATCCTCGTGTACTTCAGGTGTTAGCATGCGACAGCTATTTTTTGGATGTTTGTTCTTCCATTCTGAGATTGACATTGATGAGATGCCTAGTCATGGTTCTATGTGTTGGCACAGTAGTTTGTTAGACTGAAGTAGTTCGTAGATGTTTTGCTGCATTTGGTGCAGGAGAACCTGCCTCGTAGTATGGTCCTCCGATCTTCTGGGTAGACATTGGTTTTGAAGTTTTCCATGGTGCCAGTGCCGTTTTTGCTTTAAAGCCGGACTACCCGACTACCCTTCCAGTCGGCCATTCTGCAGCCATGGCGCAGTTGCAGTACCGCCATACTTTCATTGTCATCGAGGATCTTGCCTGGGGGTCATGAGTCATGAGTCATGTGCTCCACGCATGCCAAGCACAAGGTGAAACACATGCCAAGCACTTTCTTGTGTCTTACCAAGCTGCATAGTGGGTGTGCTCAAGTTCTTGCTCATCTGGTGAGTTCGGTGGTTTTTTCACGGTGCTCTTCTCACCGTGCGGCGGTGGCAGAGCTCTGTTGTTTGGTGACTCACCCTTTTGATTCCTTTTGTGTTTAACTAATGGGTTTCCAGCCCTTCAAGTCCCTCTGAACACAAAGTAGTTTTGTAGACGAGGTTCCTCTTTGAACAGGTGATTTGCCACTTTCAAGCCACGTGAGTCATGAGTGTAACAGAACTAGACGACTGATACTGATACCGCTCGGGGAGAGGCCGGTCTCAATTGGGGGAAGACTCCAGTAGTTTGCAGTGGGCCAACTCTACCAATATGTTTTTGAGACCAGACCTATATAGCTACTAGGGTGAGTGAATGTGGGTTTCTCCCAGAGTAACTTGGAAGCTGGACTCACCCGATGAAGACCCCTGAGGGAACACATTCTTTCTATGGGCCATCCATTGGTTTGAGGGATGATTTAGTCGTTTGTATTATATGTCAGGGTTGTAGATTTCGAGGCAAGTCAAGTCCTCACTCTCCCTGAGACAAAACATTGAGCTAAAGTGCATCTCCCCAGTTCACATGTTGAGACAGTGGGGGCTTCTAGGACTTCACAGTCTGAATCACCTCAGATGTCAGTTCATGCGATTACGGCCACCTAGAGATTTCGATGAATAAATCCCAGAAGTTCGCCTCTGAGCTGAAATGTTGCCGCAGTTCGAAAAATAGATGAGGCGACAAAAACATGGCACTTCAAATTGAACTTACAAGTTATATATAAAACCTCACAACTTGCGATATGTGCGCCCTTGCAGGAGGAAGAAAAAGCGGCACCTTGGCTTTTGGCACCCCAGCGTGGTGGGAATAGAAACCAGTCAGCCCAGTGTGGCTGATGGAGAGATCTGTAGAGGTGCACTGGTTTTCACCCTTTCTTAGCATGTGGAGATGCACGCTGTGCTTCAAAGGGGAATGGTCGATTGCGAACGGAAAAGCTACTGTAATCCATGCTAATCCCAATGGTCAAGTGAGGACCTGGAACTTTCCCACTTGAACTATACTGAGGACCAATGACTTAGGACTTGTTGGTACCAATGACATGGGTAGTTGCCGGGGCGGTTTTCCCAAGTCATCATGAAGCAGAAAAAAAGGTGCATCTACCTGAGTGAAATGAAAAGCCATATGACTTAGAGTTGCGCACAAAAGATGATATCAGCAAATATGTTATTTTTTTGAATGAGCATCAAATTGTGCTATATCGGGACCACATGACATGGAACGCTTGTATGTTTTTGAACCGTTCTCATCTCCAGTCATGTAATATTTTTGCCTCGCCACGGACATGACATAGGACGGCCTCTTTATTTAAACTTTAAACCCAGCTTCTTCCTATGTCATGGCTTTGCCAGAAGGTTGGTTTTGGCGCACAAATCTCCAGTCATGCGTTTTGTCCTGCATTTCTACAATTCCAGGAATCCTTAAAGAGGGTGTTGTAAGTTTCCTGATTTTGCTAGTTTTGTCGTCATGACTTAGGACTTGTGGCCTCTTTCCTCATGACATGGGAGTTGTGTTTTTGAGCATACCTCCGACAAATCCTATGTCAGTGGCGGGTAGTATATATAGCATAATGCATACATTGTTTTGAAGACAAGCATTGCCAAGTCAATTGCGACAAGCTGGTATGATAGTATGACCTGTCGATGCATAGGCATAGGTAGTGAATAACATGTTGTTCAATTGGTGACCACCCTTTCCATTCGAATTCTATGACCATGGGCGCCCCCGTCCTTCCACCTGCCCTTTCCATCCGCCGCGCCTGCCGAGGCACGGCGCAGCCGAAGTCACCCTCCCCCGGAGTCAAAGTCACCAGAGCAGAGCTCGATGGCTTTCGTGCACCGGCTAGTGGAGTCTTTCGATTGGGAGGCATGGATCAGTGGGTGGAAGCGAACGCCGAGTACGGATCCGTCAGCCGAGTACCGCGAGCTCAGGCGAGTACGCGAAACGCCGAGTTGCTCAGCTACTCACCATTGACTCCGCTTCCTAGTCACCCCCTTGCCCATAGGGTGATAGGGTCAAGATAGTGGTCAAGATATATTTGATGCGTCCATGATGTGTGGCCTTAGAACGATGAGCAAGGTGTTCCAGTCAAATAGGAATCCTGTCAAGGGGGGCACTTTGTGCTTAGACAAGCAAACTATAGCGGGATTGGGGGAAACAAGCGACTTGTCAAGACCTTTCAGGCTCATGTCCAGCTGATTCAGGATTTACTGGGTGTCGTGGTACGGAGCAATCTGGGTTTGTATGTTTGTAGACCCCGGTGTTTGGTGAGGGTCATAGCAGGTAAATACCGTATACTGTAGGAGTCCGGAATCAGGCCCAATTCTACCGTCCACTTGATGTGTGATCCAAGTTTCTCGGACGTGAACAAATTCTTTTGTGAATGTGCCTGTGAATTGGGTCTTGCGTTTCTGAGCATGGTTCTGCAATCAACTCAAAATCGGAGCACTTGATGAGCAAAGGCTCCAGAATCACTCCTTTCTGTATACTGTATTGTTTATGTCTTTGCTGGTTCAACTGGGTCTGGTGGGTGGAGTAGTGAGTAGTGTTTGAAATCCAAAAGGTTGTTTCATTCCTTGACTGCCCAGTCCCGTTCTTGATCCTGAATCAGAAAGGGGGAGGGTCCCGGGAAACGACAAAACTGACAAAACTGTCCAAGAAATCTATACCAAGAGGGGATGTCCCTGCTCGAGTGTTGAATCCGTGGCCAGATCGAAGCCACCACATCCCTTGGGAGACGCTTGAAGCGGTTTTGGGCGAGTCCATCGGACGGAGGGTTTCAAGACTCGGTATCTCCTGGCGAGTCCATCGGAGGTCCATTGAGATGTTTTGAGTAAGGAGGACGTTTGTTTCTCACGTGAGAAAAAGACCTCATTACTCATTACAGGTACTTCTTGTTACATGTGTTCTTCCCCACCTGTCAGGTGAGGGTCTGTTTGATTTTTTCAGATAGTCAGATAGTCTTCTCCTCCTTCTCCTCGGCCCCAGACCTCAACAGCAAGCGCCAGATTGCACTGGGCAGCGCCGGACCTCAACCGCAAGCGCCAGATCGCAGTGGGCACTACCGGACCTCAAAACACAACTTACAACCACACAACACAACCACACAATACACAATACGCAAGAACAAACACACAACCACAAACACACGACCACAAACACACAGTCACAAACACACAACGGACGTAACCACAAACACAGCCGCAAACATGCAAATCACAAACACACGACCACAATCACAAACACAAACACACAACCACAAGACACAAACACAAAACACAACCACAAGCAGACAAAACACCACACGGTCACAAACACAATCACAAACACAATTACAAACACAACCACAAACACAATCACAAACACACAACTACAAACACAACACACAACCGCAAACACAGAAACCTCAAGCACAACCGCAAACACAGAAACCTCAAGCACAACCGCAAACACATAACCACAGCAAACGACCACAACACACAACCACACAACTACAACATTATAAGAAAGTTTTGAGTATAAGTACCGTACCTGTTTGTGACTGTTTGTGTAGCATTTTGCGTGGCAGGTGGTCGCAGGGTAGCACTTTTGCATGCCAACCGGAGACTCTGGCGACACCCCGACGCGAACTCCCTAAGCTTGAAATAACAATCAAACCCGAGGACGCACAAACAAAGGCAAAAACCACAACACCCACGACCATAGCAACATGCGCCGCACCATGGCATGAAAACAAAGGATTGAAGTTTCATGTTGGGGCTCACCCGAAGTAAAGTATATGATTTGTTTGTGACGTGGCGGATAAAGTGCAGGAGATGACACCGTGATTGACGGTAGCATTGGTAGAAGGCAATAACTTGCTGTAGCCTTTACAATACACAGGATTATGCAAGAAGCAACATGAAAACAAAACGAGCTGAGTTGTGTGTAAGACTAAGACTGCGAGGTGATTGTTTCCGCCAACTGTCCAGACAGAGAAGTAGGACATGGAGGAACTTATCAGACTTCTACAGCAACTCACTAACCTCTTGTGTTTTGCACGGCATGTAGTGCTCTCCACATGGATAGAGACGATTCTTGTGACTCTTTAAAGGTGACTCCTGACTCGTTTTTTCTTTATCACATGGTACGGTATAAATATACTATACAACCAATTTTAGACAAACCACGCGTTGCCCCATTCGAACCTTTTCGACGACAATGCTCTAACGTCACACCTTGCTACCCCCAAAACAAAGGAAACAATGGTGAATCGGTTCCAAAGACTCTGGAGTTAAATTGGATGAGACGACGAACCCAAAATAAACATAGTTCAAGGCCAGATTTTTCGCCCCACTTTGCCATCCCGATCTTGGTGTCCTGCTTGTGATCGATGTTCCCTGCGTAGCGAGGTCAATACATGTTCACATACTGTTCGTTGGGAACAATTGGGTGCTTGGCACAGTTTTCCGAGCTCCGAGCTCCGAGCTGACGAGTCGGGAGTCCGGTCCTCTGAGGCTTAGGGCATCCAGAGTTGTGCGGCCGGCCATGCATTCGGTTCATCTATGGCACCTGTTTCAAGGGGCAGAGCTGCGAGTGCCTGGATCTGGAAACAACCAGCTGTTTGTGGGCAGGGAGCACCTCTTGTTGTCGACAGGGATGTATATATAGTGTGGGTCAATGCCACACACACACAAAATCAGGTGTGGTGACATCCTTGCTAATCCATTTGTTCATTATGTTCATTTGTGTGTATAGCCAGAGTTCCTGCGTTTTTGAACTTTGGTCATCAGTCCCGACACGGTTGGTGAGAAAAGTGACGCCGTGCCCGGTGCTGTCGTTCTTTAATTTTGTTGGTTTGCTGTTGACGAATGTTGACGATGTTAGGTTACAGGTGGGGCATACCTACATACTTGATCATACTTGCACCTTTTTGGTTGATGTTGATTGACTTGTAGACAGGAAGAGCCTGTTGGAGAATTGTTAGCTGTTAGCTGATCCGTGGGTGTAGACCTAAAGTTAGGAATATTGAGAAATCCTTGGCAGCCTAATACGTCCATCAACCGTGTGCTTGTCAGGACAAGATCGGTTAGGGCCAGGGCCTTGTGGTGTGCCCGAGGTGATGCCCCCACTGGGTGCCTCAAAATCCCTCCGAGCGGGATTTCTGGTGCCCGGTTTTGATCCCTGCCTAGGAGGGTCCAATTTGTTCCTTGGGTAGAAGGACATGGTGACCCAGTTGCGTTGTAAAGCCCATTTGAGCTTGGGTCCCCAAACAGCAAATCGGAGATAGTTATGATGATCGGTCGGGAACGTCGACCTTTCGACACCGGTGAAGCGAAGTGAGATCACGACAGCTGAGGTTTTGCCATGCGCCCCACGAGACAGCAAAGGCTGTGATTTTGAGCCGAAGACATCTCCGTTCAGCTAGAAGTCAATCCATATCCATATCAATCCACAATCTTGTTTTTTGAAGCCTCTCGAAGATCTAGTTGGAAGAGAAGAAACCGCACCTATATATATATATAGATATGTTTTGCATTTTTTGCGGGGGACTTAAATTTGGCTCGTGTTGCTTCTTTGGGCACTGAATCCCCACGAATATAGGCTTATGAGAAACGTAACAACTCGTTTGTCGAAGAAATCCTTTAAAGTGGTTTGACTAAATATCAGCTCCAGGTGTGTCCTCTCCTGCAAAAGTACATCCATTCCGAAAGCCGTCCCATGTATTAAAGCATTTGCCATCCTTGTTTATGTATAAACATCCCCCTATCCGTATGGTGTCTCTCATTCCTTTCGCGAAAGTATGGCATCGTCTGCTCGACAAGCATCATCCCTTAGAATCTGGCCGAGCCAATCCTGTCTCTTTCTGAACAGGGCCTTCATCCAACTGTGGAACCTCCCGACTCAAAATCATGCGGACACCATGTGGACACCATGCGTCCCCGACCATCCAAGTGTCCCTCGTACGTAGCTGTAGAAGCCGAGACAGCTCTTCCGTAGAAGAGCTGTCTTGGAGTCCTGCAATGATGTATATCAAATTGTTGACAAGTGTTGTCCTTTCCCCATTTTTTCCGCTCTTGGATGCCAAAACTTCACTTTGCATTGAGAGACAAAATCACACGTCACGGAAGAATACGTCCAAAAAGTCTAGGTGTCGGTGTCAGCCTTCAAGTCACACTTACAAGGTATACATGTGGATCCCCAGCGTATTGTTGCACCTACTCTGCTTGCTTCAGGGCGTGCTTATTTCTTATTTCCGGTTTCGCCCAGTCCTATTCAGCATTGCCTACGAGGTGAAGATGGACAAATCCCAGCGGCAGATCTTTGAGCAAATGAGCGAATCCGAGGCATTTGTTTGCTCCCCCGACTGACTGTTGGTTGGATCTTCAGGTTTGAAAAGTATACAGTGTATAGCTGGTAATTGGAGCAACCTAGAAGTATGACACACTCAAGAAGTTTGATCTCACTCAGGGATAAGCTGTATACTACAGCATACGTGTATACAATATGATTTGGATCTGCCCTATTATATACCTGTAACAGTTGGTAGACAATTATCACTATCTTAGAGATCAGAAAGGTCTTTACTAACCATCATCATCCACTGTTGCTGGCAATGGGATAGAGCCAAAATACTATGTTACAACTTCAGCCGAGTGCCAAAGGTATAAATCCAATGTGTGAAATGCCCATGGAACTCGCACTTTTTGAGACTTGTCTTTTGGTCAGGCAGTCTGAAACTCGTTTTTGGAGCGGACGGCTTAGTGTCAATATAGTAGATCTACTTTCTCCCACTGTTTCATGCATCGTCTAAGTGGTTTGCAATGGAGCCGACGCCAACGCGTGGAGCACATAGGCAACCCTAGGCACTTTGGCCTATGCTACGCATGGTTGAAAGCTGGTAATAAGATGTGGGTTTGAGTCTTAGGGGTCAACGCTCAAGATTTGTTCGAAGCATCGCACGATATCGCACATCTTTCGACCCACAGCACAGCGGTGAAAAAAGAAAAGAGCTTGTGTTTCTGGAACTTTTGTGCAGCTTCAGTTTGTCCGAACAAGAGTCGTCGTCATAAATTACCAGTTTCTTCGCCCCCTTGGCAAGCTTCACTAATTATATTGTCTAGAATGATGGAGTTTGGGATAGCCTAAGTGGTATGCTGATCCACGGATGACACCCCGTTCGCCGCATGCGCATGCGCCGTCGCCCGGACGTGTTGGGCGACCTTTGGTTCAGGTCCTCTCCTTTGCGCTAACTCATCTCCAACGGAAGTGTCAGCAGAACGGCATGCCCTTTGGCCTGACAGTGGGCGCATAGGGAGGAGTTGACTCATGTTTGGAACCTGGACGTGAAGCTTCTGAGGTGTGCAATGATCACCAAGTGTATAGGAGGTGTTTGACCTTATCAAGATGGTGGGCATTTTGACTAAGCACGGGGGGTCTATATAACAATCGTTCATTGTGTATTAATATGTTATATAAAGTTATATATATAGTATGCTATGTAGATACATGCCTACCACCCAATCACGACCTCCTTCTTGATAGGCAAAGGTGCCACATGTTGGATATCTAGTTGATCCTCCAAAACAGTGGTATATAAGTTGTAATGCACGTCAAGTCCGATCAGCTGCGGTCCCGGTTTGTGAACGGGACCCTGTTCCTATCGGAGTTGGCAAATTCCTGAAGGATCTTGATTTGGAGCAAAAGGCCTTTTCTACCAAAGAAGGACACCACCCCAAATCGAAAAAGCGGTTCAAGGAAAAAGGATTTGTAGAATTGGGAACAAACCGAAGTCAACACGAATCCTTTGCTTTTTCCCCACCTGTCAGGGTCTCGGATCCAAACGTGTTCCCGTTCAGACCGACCATACTGGTCGGTCCTGGTCGGTCTGCGGAGTCGTGCACACTAGACCATTGGCGACAGGCTGAACAAATGTGTTCAGAACAAATGTCAGAGTCAGAGTAAGTGGTAGAATCTAGAACACATGTCGGAACATTTGTCAGAACAGATGTCAGACCAAATAGCAGGTTCAAGTGCATGACAATTGTCACAATACATGGCAGAACAAATGTCCGAACACATTGAACCGAAGTTTGATCCTACGTCACAACACGTTTCAGAACACATGCCAGATTTAATGCGAGAGCACATGTGAAACGTACATGCCAGAAGATATATATGAGCCATATGTCGGAACATTGTGTCGGTGCACATGTCAGGCAACGTTTGTCAGTTTTTTCAAAGTCACCTCTTACCTTGGGGATCACTGGCAGCAAAATAGTTAATGTTCATTTTGCCTGTGCTGAAAGAAATCATTGGTTGAGGGGAGAAATATTACACGCGGGTGGTAAACAATACTTACAAAGGGATTGAAACCATTCCAAGCCCCTGAACAACTTTTATAATACTGGTATTTGTATATATATATATAATATATATATATATCAATTCCAGGATGCCTGTAGACTACCCACTTGGTCGCTTTTGGCAATATAGTTATTAAAAGGTGCTTGATAGAAGGGTTTAGCTCAACCTCAAGGCAGGCAGGGGAGACTAAAACTCGATTGAACATGGCAATGCTGAAAGAAAACACTATTGTTCCAACCACCAAAACAAGTTTAGGGTCTTGAACAATTCCGCAAAGCCTTTTGTTTCTTTCCCAAATCTCCTAGATATTATATAACTAAGCTTCACATATAGCTTGACATATACTGTAGAAGATTCTTGTCCCCGAAAACACTTGCACCTCCTACCCGGTCCTACCCGTTCCCCAACTGAATCAACTATACCAACCGGGCCTGTGACGCCACACACCGACCTCCAGGCTCGATCAGATGGCGCTGGTGTTCGTCGCCCTGCGCCGACACCTCCGCTTCGGCCTCCAGCCGTCCCCCGCGACGCCCGGCACCTCGCGGCGGACGCAGCAACAGCACTTGCGCATTCTGGTGCCTGCAGTGCGGAAGATGAGTGGCCTGGGCGGCAGCTTTGAGCCTTTTTCTTTTAGGAAAGTCTGATGTAAAAAATGAATTGGCAAGGTCGATTTGATGACGGGTCATGCTATGTCATGCTTGTATACCACGCTCTCCAGTAGTGCATCCTGCCAATGGGCCAAGGGGGTCACAGTTTTGGCAGCTCAGAAGGTACCGGAACATGCGGTCATCTTTTCCTCCCAAACGTCCTATGGACCAACATGGAGCTATACAACAGAAAGGACACCAATGTGATATTGTGAAGCTTGACTGCTTCGGTGGAGAACAACTCGTGCCATTCCAGAATGTTTGCCACCTAACTGGATTGAGTTGGATGCTGTTTGATCCTTTTTGGCCGTAGACATCACCTCTCTCCCTTTTCTCAACTCCCAAGGCCTGGGACGTTTGTTGGAGCTGGTGCAGCAGAAGGTGGAACCAGGCGCGGAGGTCACAGTGCTGCGCTGCCCAGAACGGAACACCAGACATGGGAGGGCATAGCATGACACACATGGCGGGCCCGGGCCATATGGCTCCAAAGAGAACGACCTTCAGGAATGATTCGCACATTTGACATGTTTCCAGCATGTTTATTTCGTGCACATTGATCTTTCTCCACGATCACCCTGTTTCGGCCGGATACCAGGATTTTAGCGGAGCCTGGGTCGGCTGCTAT